TCGCAACGCTCTTACGCGAATCGGAAATAAGATCGACTTTCTTTATAAATTCGTTTTACTATGTTTTTCATATTTTTCCGCATTTATTTGGTTACTTGTCGTTGGCTTTCGCAGAGATCCGGTTCCTCTGGAAAATTAGGGTTTTCCTAAGTTTCCTTATTTAACGGAAATCGACAAGTGTGAATTTCGGTTCCCACAGATATCCATTAAAGTCCAGATTTGGTTCAGATAAAACTCATAATCCGAAATACTGTAAAACGAGATCCATTCTATACTTATGTCTGACTTGGATCGGTTCGGATTCATTTTTATCGGATCAGATTTGGTTCGGATTTTTGGGTTAGGTTTATTTACCCAATCCTAACATATGTTACAGAGTCAATAGTCTCATAAGTTTTATATATATAGTTCTACCGGAAAGAATGTCCATGTTTTTTAATCAATTGCAGGGTTCGAATCTTTAAACTATACTTTTAGTCATTTTTAAAGATTACTAGTGGTATTCCGGCGTTATGCGCCGGGTTCGTACGTTTTATTATTTAATGACTTCAAAATTGTTTGTAACCCTGATATGATCAGTATCTATGGATAAACGTTTACATTGTGTGTGTATATTGTTTTAGTTGCTTCGTATGATGTTGTTGGGAGATGTAAAAATTAGATGGTCGATACGGGTTTCTAGTAAACATAGATTGAGTTATTGTTTTTTGTAGTTGTTGGACATTCTTTCTTTTCGTTGTTCATTAGGATCTAGAGTTGTTTCTAGTAAATATTAAATTAGTCATTTGTTCTAGAGGAGATTTCATTTTGCATTAAGGTACTATATCTTCAAGAGTATCTTAGTAATAACACCAAATAATGATGAAATGGAAAGAAGGTAACAAGAGTGTAAAGTGAAAATATTGTATATATAATGTGTTAAATGTTATTTATATGCGAAGTAAAGTTTATAGGAATAATTAAACTAGAATATAGTTTCTAGTGTGTAAAAATAGGTGTCTATCTTGTTTTTTATTTTTTTATGATGTACATAGTTCTTATGTCAAAGGTAAAAACTTGATATATTATTTACTTACAGTATTTATATTTTTACTAAACGATTTATCAATTTGAAAATAACTTTAATTTAAGCTAACGTTTGTTGTTTGGGTTTCATTAGATAGTTTTGTATATGGTTATTTTGTAAGTATGGATTTTGTTCATGAATGATGTGACACTTTTATTTACGGCGTCATCGACTGTGGAAATCCATTCGCCGGAGTCTGATAAAAATGAAATTATAGTAACTATTAGAAATGTAAGAAAAATTACATATTCATTTTATAAATAACAAAAAATACTTAAATGTTGTTGTTTCTTATTTTATTTCACATACATAATTTTTTGAAAGTATATATTACGAAATATGTTCTAATAGAAAATATATATTAGGACATGATAGTGCCGCGTGGGACTCGTTTTGTTTTTTGTTTTTTGGGCTGTTCATTTTTTGATCTATTTTTAATTGTTTTTGGGTTTGAGTTCGTTAAACTTTAGGATTTTTCCCAATATTTGAGCTTTAAAAAATAAGCCCAGAGGAAAAAAAACATTAAAAACAAAAAGCCACACGATAATAATCCAAACAAAAAAAAAACTAAAATACATAACAGCGGTGTGGTTTGAACTAACACACTTGTAGACTTAATTAGATGTCTTGTACCACTTGACTAAAGTGTATTCATTATTCATAGTCATTTTAGCAAAAATATAAACTTTTGAAAATTAAATGTGCGGGACCCACAAAATGTTGACATGGACACCTTGAGAAATCTTGAAAGTGTACTATTATATATAAGATTTATATTTTCTTTTGTTTGCTCCAGTTACATTTTTTATGTTAGTAGTTAGTGGTAATAGTCTTAATTTTCTTTAATGTAGAAGCAAATTGCATGTGAATTTTGAAATTTTGATGTAGGCGAGTTGAGATGACGGATAAAAGAGTGATAGGACATGAAAACAACTGTATTTATTCGGGCTAAGTTTGGCTTATTTTCCATTTGAAGTTAGATGTTATATTTCATGTGGATGTAGCTTACGCCATAGTTACGTTGTTGGTTTACTATATATGTTCCCATACCTTAATTTCTATGTAACCATTTTTTGTTGCGAATCATTTTTTTGGTCTATTAACGTGTTTTTTTGTCAAATGTGTTGTTATGTTTAGTAATTCTTGGTGTGATGTTATAGGAGATCCATTTAGGATGAAACGATTTTTAATGAATCATCTCTTCCTAGGTCATATCAGGAAAATTATATGTTGGACCTGAAGTAGATGTATGGAGTTGCAGAGTTATATTGTATGCTCTACTCTGTGATACCCTTCCTTTTGATGATGAAAACAGTCCCAACCTTTTCAGTTTTCAAGAAGATAAAGGTACTCTACTCTATGCATTAGCTTCCCAAATTTTGTGTTAGTTTAGTTTGATTGATAGAAAGAGAGGGAGACTAGAGACTATGATGTTTCAACAAGAGTATCAATATGGCTTGTCACTCATGGAAACATCATCAAGCTACAAAGTCTTAGCAGAGCAACAACCTATTTCAACGGACAACTTATATTCTCTATGAGCACGAGGTGGTTTCAGTGAAGAACTACCGTTGAAAAAAGAGGAGGAGGAGGAGAATGAGAAGTGATCACTTGATAGAAGAGAAAGAAAACCAAAGGATGAATCATATCGCCGTCGAGCGTAACCAGAGAAGACAGATGAATCATTTTCTCTCCATTCTCAAATCGATGATGCCTCCCTCTTATCCTCAGTGTGTGAGTATATATATCGTTTAGGTTAATGGTTACATGTTGGGTGTATAAGACATCAGTAAAGGCTAATCAATTTTGATATATACTCTGTTAGAAATTAAGTACATGTGTTACAGCCAATAAAAAACACGACATCAAATTTGTTTTTGATTTGTTTATGTTTTACCTTTTGATAACTTTATTTCCATTATTTTAAAAGTTTAGTATACTCTATACAAAATATAATGGAAATTAAAGGTATGTTATCTTAATATATTCCCAACTTAAAATTTTTATTTATTAAAAATGTTAACTAATCATATTTTTTATTTTTTATTCTCTGTTTCAATTTATTTGTCATTATAAAATAAATTTTTCGTTTTAAAATAAGTGTCATTTTATAATTTCGATGTAAATCATAAGTTCATAATAACATATTATTCAATTAATCAAATTAATTGTATTAATATTTCGTAAATAAGTTACAAAATATATTTGAATATAATATATCTTAAAAACTATTGTGCTCAAAGATAATTTCTACTATTATTTTTAATGTATGCATATTTTTTTCTATTTCAATACTATTAATCTTTGAATTTAATCTAATATTAAAAACGTAATAACCTAATTTATATATTATATTTTTATTTATTTATAGCATTTGGTTTTAGAAACCGAAAAGTGATTCCAAAATGGAAGTGTAATGTCATTATTTAGGATTTATTTAGGGAACGAGATTTTGAAAGTTTTCATAAGCTTCTGATTCTAATTACGGTTTCGAAACGAGAAGCAAATGTTTGATGAAGCTTTCGTACTACCTAGGGAAGAAGTGTTCATATGAATGTGTTCTTTTTGTAAAATTTACTTTTAGTTGTGACTATAGTTCATCGCAATTTGAAAATGTCATTGCTCAGCTTTGATTTGAATATTTACTGATATTCATGTATTTTTCTTTTTATCATTGTTTCTTGCCAAGATCCAACTCAGTGACACTGATAATTTGTTCTTATTAATTTTCTAACCGGAACTTCAACGAAGATGTGGAACTTCAGCAAATTATATTAACTTCCAACAAGTATTTAGCTTCAGAAAATGGTTTACATGTATAAAATCAATATAATATTTCTTGTGTTTTTAAAATATACATATAAAATAATATTCTCCAACACATAATTACATTAAAAACAAGGATATGTTTATAGTACATACATTCTTTCTAAAGAAAAAACAAATATGCAAAACAAGAAAATTTTTTTTCAAGAAACACCAATTAAAAAAAAAAATATCAGTACAATTAAATTAAATCGTACATAGTACATATAATTCATGATTTATCTTCATCTAAAACGAGATATATGATACATATATAGATAAAGAAAAAACTCACAAGAATTGATTCCTAATCTATGAGCTTCTGAGTCTAGAAGAATGCAACTCAAATTAATCAACATTTGTTGATTTTAATGTTAAAACAAAAGTTATAATTATATATTAATTTAATCACATTTTCATTGGAACTCTTTTAAACTTATAAAAGAATAATTGAAGCTTAATAAGACTAATAAAAAAATATTCGAAATGCTTACCAGCTTATATGTATTTTTTGACAATGAAAAAAAATGAATGTTAACAATTTTAAAATTGTAGTCACCTAAAGCAATAAAAATTATAAAGTTTTTCTGATATTTTATATAGTGTAAATAGTCTAAATATAAAAATATATGCTCAAATACAAATTATAAAATAGTTAAATTTAATTTAAATATGTGGGAAAACCCGGGCGTAGCCCGGGGAAATGATCTAGTAGATTCTAAGAGGGAAAGGAGAGGGAGAGAAAGGGGAAAGGAGAAGGAAAGAGAGAGAGGGAGACTGTAATATAAATTTATATTCTATATTTACTTAATATAATTTTTTATTCAATATCAGTTATATGTTGGAAGAATATAAATACTTAATATAAATTTTTATTCTATATCAGTTATATATTGGAATTGCGAAAGCTCATGTCCAACTCTTTATTATCCGATTAGTATGATATTGTCCACTTTGGATCTAAAAAGCAAGTCCGCATGGATTTACTTTTGATTTTCTTCCTAAAAGGTTTCGTACTAATAGAATTAGACATCTTTTTATATATTAAACACTTTTTATCTAATTCTCCAGTGTAGAACTTAGATTGTTATCGCACATTATATAAAAGAATAAAAAAACACGGGTTTGAGCATAAATGATTGGTATTATAGTATATATTTAAATTTTACTTTACGTAATAAAAAAACTATATATATATATATATATAGATATATCTTTTAAAAAATTCTAAGCATTTTATAAGTAGAAAGAATCTGTAGTTGTTGATGGAAAATATATAAAATCTAATAACTCTTTACATGAAAATTTAAGAGAATTAAGATTAGTGGGGAAAGAAAGAAAGAAGAAAAACAAATAATATTACATATTCACAGATACATCATACATGTAGGGGTGACATATCAGTTATACATAATATATAGAAGAATATCCTAACCATCTTATTGATATGATTACTTACCTAATTATATATTCTTTTGGTTATAAAGTCAAATTACCCTTATCATTCTCTTTGTTTTATTTCTACCAAACAAATACAATAATAAACTGGCTCTCTCTCTCTCTCACTCATGGAATCAACGAAGAAGCAAGTATCCTTGGAGGTGCTTCCATGGTTAGTTGTTCACAGCGACGGAACGTTAGAGAGACTAGCCGGAACCGAGATTTGTCCACCTGGTTTAGATCCAGAAACCGGGGTATTATCTAAAGATATCATCATTGATTCTAAAACCTGTTTATCAGCCCGAATCTACAGACCTGACTCGATTCAACCCGACCAAAAGCTTCCGCTCGTGCTCTATTTCCATGGCGGCGCATTTCTTATCGCCTCTGCCTCCCTACCCAATTACCACACCAGCGTTAACAAACTCGTCGCGCATGCCAACATCATCGCCGTGTCTGTCAATTACAGGTAAATCAATCCAGTTTAAGTTGACTTATTGTTTGACCAAGGTTTACTAGTTCAGTCGGGTCAAGACATTTAACTCGACTACCATATTATTAGGTTGACCTTTTTTTTTCTTTGGACAAGACTGTAAATCGTGGGAATTCGTGAATAGTCCGGTTAATAAATTTAACTATAGAATGTTATGGTCCAATAAAACTGGACCGATTCAAACCAAATTGAAATAGAGAATATGATTTAATTTTGGCTATATATTTTAAAATTGATGATATTCAATACGAAGTAAACTAAATAGATATGATTTTAATAGGATAATCAATTCATCTATATTATTAAAGTTGAAGTACATTTGAGAGTTGTTTGGGAACAAGAATAACATTTTATAAAAGGAATATATTATTGTTTGGCAAAATGGATTGCAGTATATTAAAAATACATGGGCTTTTTAAAAACAAAATGGGTTTAGTTATTAAGAAAATTAAAATTCTTATAATAAACTATCTATTTGGGCAAGCTTTATAATATATGCAAATGGATTAATCTAATTACCTAAAATATTTTTTGTTTAAAATAATCATAATACAAAATTTAAACTTTATATACATATTTCAAATCAAAAGAATAATTTAAAACTAATTTATAGAATATTTTGATTCTAATATATATAAATATATTTAAAAATTGATTTTTACTAAAATATTTTCCAATAGCGATTATAAAAAAAGTTTTCAATATATATAAAAAATATAATACAAAGCCCAATTTCAAGCACCAATTTATATTGTAGTTTTTATATTTCACATTAAATTTTTAAAATATAATTTATATGATTATTTATATTAAGGTTGTGAATTTGATTCTTTACACATGGATTCCGTCCTATTTGACTCACTGGAGGACCAGTAAAAATAAACATATTTTGAAAATATGTGAGGAGAGTGCGGGTTTAGTATATTTTATGTGGAATGGGTGTGGATCAGTCGAATTTAAACTGCGGATACCCACCAACCTCAAAATATTTTTTTTTTAAAGATAATTTTTTAAATGAACTACACAAGTAGGTTGACAAGAGAACTACACCCGTGCGGGCGCACGGGTCAATATCTAGTTTTATTGTTATAAACTAAACACCCAAACCAAAACCAAATCAAAACAGACCAAAAATTCAAATTGAACACTTTTAAACCAACTCTATGTCGGTTTTGTTTTGGTTTAGTATTATTTTTGTTTCGCTCTATTTGGTTTGATTCAAACAAACAAATTAAATTTAAAACAAATAGTTAGTGTTATGATATATATTTATTTATTTTGATACATACAACATAATAAAAATTATACAAGAGATAACTACTTATAAATTTCAGTTTATTCAATTCATTTTTTTTCCCGGTTACACAAAACCAGTTCGGATTCGATATTGAAAATTAACATAATTAACTCCAAAATTGTAGAAGAAAAAGGTTTAGAAAAAGAAATTTGATGTTTCGTTATGTTTTGGATATTTGGATAGATTAGCACCAGAACATCCACTTCCTACCGTGTACGAAGACTCATGGAACGCACTACAAGGGGTCCAAGCCGGAAACGAGCCATGGATCAACGACTACGCCGATTTCAACCGGTTCTTCCTAGCTGGAGATAGCGCTGGAGCTAATATCTCGCACCACCTCGCGTTCCGAGCCAGACAATCGGACCAGACTGTGAAAATCAAAGGCATCGGAATGATCCATCCGTATTTCTGGGGAACGCAACCGATTGGCTCAGAGGTCACAGACGAAGCGAGGAAACAAATGGTAGACGGATGGTGGAGATTTGTGTGCCCGTCCGGGAAAGGATCCGATGACCCGTGGATCAACCCGTTTGCGGATGGGTCACCGGATCTTGAAGAGTTGGGGTGCGAGAGAGTGATGATTACTGTGGCAGAGAAAGATATTTTGAGAGAAAGAGGGAAAATGTATTATGAGAGATTGGTGAAGAGCAAATGGAGAGGTAAAGCTGAGATACTGGAGACTAAAGGGAAAGATCATGTGTTTCATATTTTTGAGCCTGATTGTGATGAAGCTGGGGAGATGGTACGTCGTTTGGCTTCGTTCATAAACCAAGTCTAAGTTTAAATCTATTTTCGCTCAATTTTTCTTTTTCGTTATTTGATGGCGTTTGATATGTTTGTAACAATTTCTACACCTTTGTTAATAATGTTGTCCGGTTCCCTTTAAAGATAAATTATCCTTGAGTTATTCTGTGAGATGAAAGGCAGCATCTGCTTTGTCTTTGACCAATGAATACATTGTTGTGAAAATTGCGAGGGAAAGCTAAATTCAAGCAAAGAGCGATTCATGATCCATCATCCATGTACTCTGATCTCCGAAGACAAGCTCTCCAAGATGAAGGAACAAAAGATTCACAAGTCAAGAAGAACAAGTAGAAGATACATTAAAGAAGCAATCATCAGAATCAACTAATTCCTTAAATTCCAAGAAACCATCACAAGAGTAAACATATATTTTGGGACAAAGTATAATATCATGTATGATGGAAGATTAACAGGAAAATATTCAACCTTTGCTATTGCATTGGCTCAGCTGCTTCCAGTTCCTTTCTTTCATCGGTTTTTGCTGGAATTTTGATTCCACAACCGCAATCCCAAATTGTGATATTCATAAAATCAATGCATTTGGAGAATCTACGACTACTGCATTTGGAGAACTACTTTGACTTCCACCATGATCGTTTAAAGACGACAACCATTTGTTTTCATTACTCTGGCTTCTATGTTTACTTTCTTTGTTGCAAAACTCAACAATGGTCACTCACGCACAAGTGAAAGATGTTAAAAAGTAAACTTGATTTAAATCACATTATTGGATTAACAAATCACTAATCATGTGTTGGCCCAAACTTAACTCAAATTCTAAAATAATCTTCTACCCCTTTATGATAAAAATCTAGATAATTAGGATAAGAATTGTCTAAATTTAGAATTAAAATATTTAAAATATTTTGTATTTTGGAGGTTATAATATATACACCCCCCGCCCTTTTATTTTGTATAATTGCAAGAATCATCCGAGTACTAAGAAATCTTAAGATTTCTTCATCATAAATTTTCTTTCTTTTCAAACACTTAAAGCACTTTCTTCATCTCTATTTTTTCCTTCTAACAAAGTGTAATTAGAGCTACAAGATCCTTTTTAAGATGGCAAATAGTAGTGTTTCTTTCCAAGTTCCATTACTCACAAAGAGCAACTATGACAATTGAAGTCTTAGGATGATGGCTTTCTTAGGAACACGTGATGTGTGGAAGATCATCAAGAAAGACTTCATTGAACCAGTGAATGATGGCGGTTTATCTCAAACTCAAAAGGATTGTTTGAGAGATTCAAGGAAGAGAGACAAGAAGGCTTTATGTTTAATCTATCAAGGATTAGATGAAGATACATTTGAGAATGTTGCTGGAACAAAAACGTCCAAAGAAGCATGGAGAAGATCCAGAATTCTTCAAGGGACCGGAACAAGTTAAGAAGATACGAATTCAAACTCTAAGAGAAGAATTTGAAGAATTAAAAATGAAGGAAGGAGAACTCATCTCAGATTACTTGCCAAGTGTCTTGACAGTTACAATAACCTAAAGAGAAATGGTGAGAAGTTAGATGAGGTGAGAATCATGGATAGTCTAAGATCTTTTTATTCAAAATTAGAGCACATTGTTACCGTGATTGATGAGACAAAAGACTTCGAGACTATGAAGATGGAGCAACTTCTTGGATCACTACAAGCTTATGAAGAAAATAAGAAGAAGAAGAACATATTGTGGAGCAAGTTTACAAAACGAGAATTAATAAATAAAAAAATGGCTGAAACAATCCGAGATGAGGTGATGGTGATTCCGAGGACGAGGTGTGGTGTAAATGACGAGGTTGGAGACAACGTCAACCAAAGCAGAGAGAATTCATCAAGAGGTGGTGGAAGAGGAAATCCAAAATCAAGGTACGATGAATCAAGCACTAAATGATATAGTTGTGGGAAGTTCGGACATTATGCTTCTGAATGCAAAACTCCAAACAACAATAAAGTTGAAGAGAATTCCAACTATGTTGAAGCTAAGAAAGGAGTAAAGGAGAAGATATGCTATAGATGGCTTACAAGAAGGATGAACCAAATGAGGTTCACAAGTGGTAGCTTGATAGTGGTGCAAGCAACGACATGTGTGGGAATAAAATCATGTTTGTGGAGCTTAATAAGTCGGTGAAAACCAATGAGGCTTTGGAAGATGAATAAAAGATGGATGTGAAAGGTAAAGGAAATGAGAATTCTCATCCGTTAGAAGAGTGGAGATCATCAATTCATTTCCAATGTTTTACTACATTCCAAGCATGAAAACCAACATCTTCAGCATAGGAAAATCTTAGAGAAAGGTAATTATTACATTCGACTAAACAATAATAGTCTTTCTTTAAGAGATAATGAAAATAATCTCATCACAAAGGTGTCAATCTCAAGCAATAGAATGTTTGTCCTAAACATAAAAATGACATTGCACAATGTCTTAAGATGTGATACAAGGATGAATCTTGGCTTTGGCCTTTTTGATTTAGGCATCTTAACTTTTGAGGCTTAGAACTACTTTTTAAGAAAAAGATGGTGAAAAGATTACCTTCCATCAACCAAACAAATCAAGTGTGTGAAGAGTGTTTACTTGGAAAGCAATTGAAGATGAGTTTTGCAAAGGAGTCAGAGACAAGAGCAAGAAAGCCACTTGAACTCATACATACAGATGTATGTGGCCCGATCAAACCAAGTTCACTCAGTAAGAGTAGCTACTTCCTTCTCTTTTATTGATGGATTTTCAAGAAAAACATGGGTTTAAGAAAAATCAGAAGTGTCAGTGACAAAAACAAAAACAAAAATCAGAAGTGTTTAAACTTTTCAAGAGTTTCAAAGTTCATGTTGGGAAGGAAAGTGATCTTACAATCAAATTTATGAGATCCGGCAAAAAGGAGAACTCATGTCTAAGGAATTTTTAAAGTATTGTGAAGAAAATAGCATCCAAAGACAGTTAACGGTGCCAAGAACCATTCAACAAAATGGAGTAGCAAAAAAGAATAATAGGACGATACTTGAATTGGAAAGTAGTATGCTGCGTGTACAGTATATATTTTAATTTTATAGTTTTAGGTTTAGGGTTGTTGGAAAGTTGATAAATGAAATAGAGTGGAGGAAAAGTGTAATGAGGATGAGAGGAAAAATAAATTATTTTTAGCCATAGTGATGCATAGCGTTTTAAAAATGATAGTGCTATGTATACCATATTTATAAAAAACGTTTGTAGAATTAAAATCGGACCAACGAAACATAGCGTTTGCGTTTTCACAAACGCTATCTAAAGTTATGGAGTATGTCAACTATAGCAGAAAGACAAAACAACGATATCCTCTACTGCTATCAAAACCAATATTTCATGTAATGAATGCAAGTTCGGCCCGAATATCCGATTCTTAACATCTCTCAGAATCCCGTTAAAGATCGAATGCTCATATCCATGGAGCCCAAGTCAAGTCAAAACCTTGACTAAGTCTTGGTCAAATCAACAGACTTGGTCAATGGTATTGAATGGTCATTAATATTACAATTTATTCCAATTAATAGCTATAAATGACAATGTCTCCACCTAGAAATCAGATATAGAAAGATGAGAGTAATCTAGCTAAAAGGGAGTTCTTCATGAGAGGAAAAGAGAAGAAAAGAGAGGAAAATGAATAGAGGAGAAGATTCCACCCCTTCATCATCAATTCCGATATAAGATCCACATATTCATAATCAAAGGGAAGTCTTCTGTTCATCATTCGTATCTTTCTATATCCTTCATTTGCACTTGTTATCATTTAGTTAATTGGTTCCTAGCTCCTAGCTATCTAGCTTCCTAAATGACATCATGCCTAGCTCCTAAATGTCTAGCTGCCTAACTGCCTAGTTTCCAAGAGGTGTAGCTACCAAATCGCCTAGCTGTCTTGCCGACTTAGCGACTTGAAAACATGATGACCTGACGACCTAGAGAGTTGATGACCTGGGGAGGTGGCGAACTGGAGACACGATGACCTGGAGAGCTGGAAACCTAATCGAGTAGCTGTAGAGGAGAGCTCTCTCCCAGAAGTCTAGCTATAGGAGAGACCTAATCTCATATCTATAGAATAGACCTTAATCCTAGCTTCCTAGATTAAAGAAATACTTAATCTCATATCTAAAGAAGTAACCTCTCTCTTAGCTTCTTAGCTAAAGGAGAGATCGAGGCGACTAGCTAAAAAAGGAGCTCTCTCGGGCAATCACACATGCAAGATATTACCTAAGAACTACGTTTGGCTTGATCATGATAATGGTACGTTGGAAATCTTTCTAAAAGCGCAGCTCATAACATATTTCACCTCATTGATGGCAAGCTCGTAAATCTTGTTCATTGGACGAAGATTGGAGACTTCTTATCTTGAGAAAAAAACACAATCAATGTGACACATAGTTCAAAGGACCTCCCATTGTAAAGGCATGGTAATCAATACAGGATGGAGCTCAAGGAACCTAGCGAATTCTTCATTTCCATACAATTAACCGAAAAACCTAACCTTATTTTCTGAGTGGATTTTAGGATCCATCCAACATGTCAAGATAGGCTGTGAATATTTAGAAGACTCCGCTCTTCAATTGTGATTTGGCATATCCACTATTAGCATTGATGCAAACCCGTTTCGGATAAAAAAAAAGCTTCTCTCCACATTCGATATCTTGGTTTACTCTATATTCGAAGAAATGGAGCCTTGTGATTATGATCTGTTTCTAATCTATCTTATTAAAATAGAAGTACCAATAAAATATACCCCTTAATTTTTCAAGTTATTTACACAACAATGCCATTATATTTATTAATAATCCTAATTTTTAGTAATGTTATCTTTTCAGTTAATTTAATATATTTCTTAAATTGTTTATTAATTTTAAATACAAAATCATTTCTGGATATCCCCTAGATTTTCTCATATAACAGTTTATGCTACTGATATTTTTTTCCTAAAAATATAGAAGTTTAAATATGAAAATATTAGAAGTGCATAATAACTATAATTTACATATTCAATCACGTTGGACCATTTAATAACATATAGTCAACGTTTTTAAATACTGATTTCAATTATCATTAATGCTTAAAAATGTCATAGATAAACAAGAATTTAATACATGTATATATTTTAAAATTATATATTA